TACATACAAGATATTTTGATCATATTCCTGTCTCCATATCAACTTTGTATTCATGAACTCACAGCAGCTTTGATTGCCTATAGTAGATGTGTACAAGGTCAAGCTAGTCAATATTTCGGTATGGATGGAGTCGGGGCACATGAGCCACCACTGCTAGCTGAGAAGCTAGTAAAAATAGATGGATTCTATGAGAGAGAGAGTTTGTTCTTATGGGGGTGTGGTCCATGGTAGGTTAATGATGATACAGTGGATGATGATTCCATAGTAATGTATGAATAAACTGACTTCAAAAGGCTATAAATAAAAACATAAGATGAAGTAATTGCTTTCTTCTGTAGCAACATTGTCCTTCTCAGCTGCTCGACACCTGCTCCTTCTCCTGCCGACACACCCCTTTCTGGCTTTCGCCCAGGTACTTTGTTGAAGATCCTCTCATCAGGGGCTCAACTAGCCTCTGCATTGCAGACCTGGAGTTAGTCTCCATTCAAAGATGGGTGCTCAGCTGTGCAGGGTCTCTCTTCCTCAGCAGTGTCCAGCACTACGATGTCCTTCTTTCCCCTCGGGGATTCTCACTCCTTCCATACCCAGAGCCTTTGACTTCCATTTCCCCCCACAATGTTTTAACATTCACCAAATGAAAGGCTCAGCTACTATGACTCACCCTCCTCGGAGGGCAGGCAGAGGCCAAGTAAGTTGGTGATTTGATTGGACCTTGGACTTCCTCTTCCTTTCTTTTTCTTCCCCAAGTTGAGGTCTGTCTTTTCCTCATAAAGATATGGCACTCTCCCCAGGAGGGACTGGATCAGCCCCTGGCAGATTGTCCTTGCTCTACTTCAAGTCCTCAAGTAGCCTTTGGAAGGAAAGGAGAGGTTTGCAGCAAGTCTTTCAAGCCGGATGTAGAATGCAGCTCTGACAGGCTCTTACTCTGTGTAGAGCCCATTGGAATGGGCTGTTCCAGGTTAGTATTCTCTCTAGAGATGGAATTGAAGCTGAGCTTCGGGCTTTGAGTAAGCTCACAGGCAGGGCTGATGGGGCTCCCTCAGTCAATAGTTGGTGGGTAATTTCCAAGACTGTAAGTTGATCACTGGAGTGAAAGAGCGTTTGCCAATATAAAAGCTTCCCTGAAACACAGAGAAAAGCAAGGAAGGCTGGAAGCAGTTGACGAAACTTCCAAGGTAATTTTGGGTTTCAAACTTATTTCAAAAGCTTGCTATCACAGACTAGAATGCTGAGGAAGGTCAACCATCCACACGGGTGCACACTCTCCCGAGGCCATGGTAGCCAAAAGCCCAGGTGGTTCATAATCCACCCTACCCTACCTGGACATGGAAAGTAGCATCTCAGGGAATGTAACTGAACACTGCTGTTCTTGCAGTGGTATTAATTGTCCCAAGTATAAGAGGAATTCAGCATTGGAGGTGAGACGGTTTCAATAGATGATGATCAGTAGCATGCATACTTGATTAAGGCGGGGTCTTTGCTCTTTTCACTGCGGGATCTATAGGGATTAGACTGGGGACACATTCTGTAGATACTTTCTCAGTTAATTAGGGAATCTTCCATTGATCTGTCTGCTCTTGATTTGAAGTCCAGCACATTCCTTGTAGAATTGCAGACGAAGCAGTAGGTGGTGTCCAGATGACACAGCGTGGCTTCTCCTCGGGGATCTCTCTTTATCATCCAAGTGCTAACTCAAACGCTGTGGGAGGACAATTGGTAGAAGACGGTGAAATTTATGGCAAAAACTCTGCAGAAACTTGATAAGTGCTCTCTTAGGATGTCTTCCAAAAATCTAGTGCTGATGTGGAATGTCATTTCATCTGGATCTGATTCACCTGGAGAGCAGACATCTGTCTTTTGTTTACAGAGAAAAATAAAGACAATTTGAACTTTGGTTCAGAGCCAGTGCCCTGAAATTGGAGGGCGCTGATAGCACTATGGTCTCTAGAACAGGGCAGTGGGTGTGGTGTGGGGGATGGGCTGTAGTGTGTGCATCAAGATTATGGGCTGATTGTCACCTCTTACTAGCAGTGTGGCTTTGGGCCACGGCTATCTTAACCTCTTAGTGCTCTGGTTCTTCCATCTGTAAAGTACCATTTCCCCCAGGATATCAAAATGAGAATGCCTGCCTTGAATTTTTTCTAAAATTCAGTGTACATAGTCTTCTGTAAGTTGAAAAGCTTATGCGAGAAAATTGCAAATTCTACGTACAAGAATCAAACAGAAAATATTCTTTATACTTAAATTTTAAAAAGTGATGCTGATAACAGCACTTTGAACTTCCTTTTTTATTATCTCTCTGTGTTCATTGTACATGATATTGTATTTCATAAGGACATGTTTATACAGGTATCCAATGTACATCGTGCATACTCCTTCCTATTCCTTCCTTCCATCCCCTCTACCCTCCTCATCCTGTTAGTCACCTTTCCTCCCTAGACAATTTGACCTTTGCTTTCCTATCAGAGACACATACATTACTTTATGTATTAATATAAATTGTATAAAACACAAATGAGAGAAAATGTGCACTATTTGTCTTTTTGAGACCGACTTAAGAACAAATTTTCAAAGAATAAGGATACAGTTTTCAATGTCTTAAAACCAGGAAGATTTCCCCACCCCCTTCAAGTGTGGTACTGCCTAGAAGTCACCTTCTGCTGAATCAGTCAAGACAAGAGAGGCCAGTGACAAGGCAGCACCCGCAGGGCTGGTCTTGAAATTTGATCTCGATTCAAGGTGGCCACATACAAGAAACGACTTCACTCAAGTCATGTTCACATGGGATCTTGAGATACACTCTAGTTGGGCACTAGTTCATGTTGATATTCCAGCTCCATTTCCTGAGGACTCGTCAGAGCCATAGGAATGCCACTGAGGCAGCCACTGAGAAGCACACGTGGCCTTTTATGCTCTGTGGTTTGTACAGCAGAGAAACAATCTCACAGTCGGATACACACCCCATTACAATTTTCTTTTCATTCCGGAGGGAGGATATTGAATAGACCAACTAGTAAATTCCTAGTGTATTGTTTCATTTTATGTCTGGTTTCCTGTGTGTCTATTAGGAGTCTGTATTGTAGTTAGAGGTGTTCAGGCAAGAACACTGTATACATTAGGCATGTTGAGTACTTTGGCAGCTGAGATCCATAGATGTGATTAATTTGATTGATTCTGAAATTATAAGAGGCAATGAAAATCATATTTTTATTATTGATATTGCAAAATTATCAAATCAGCTAGGACTTCATTTTCAGCCAGTCAAAACACTGATTTTCTTGAGATCTTTGGGGGGAAAACCCATTGATATAGCATATTTTTTATTCTTTTCGGCTATGTGATGATATAATGGTCCCATTGGAGATTTATGTGGCTTTCCCCATCAAATATTAACTTAGAACCTTTTGAGTGCCAGCCCCTGAACTTGTGGGAACTGTGACGGATAGGACTCCGCACCTGAAGCTCTCACTCTGTGCTTTTCTGCATTTCCATTTCTGAATCAAAGAGTTCCCCAGTTCACAATTCCTGTTATTAAGTGCACAAGGTCACATAATCAAGGAATACGCAGTACAGGAGGCCATGACCAGGCAACCATCCCTGTGACCAGGATGTACAGTAGCTTTAGCAAAGGGAGGGAGTGTTGATTTTATTTTCTATTATTCTAAAACTGGCACATCCCTTCCCCCCAAAATATAACATTTTCCCTCACTAGAGAACCATACACAATTACTGTATTTGTAAAATTCAGAATAAAGCAAGGTAACAAAATAAAAATTGCCCTTAGCCTTCTTACTAGGGATAATTACAGTAGTTGACCTTGTCTGTGACAAATTACAATATGCTTTTTAGAACCAATTTTTTTTTTCATGTGAAGTACCTTGAACTTCTCCCCCAGGATCTTGAGTATTTTCCATGCTGTGCATTTTCAGTGACAATAACAGTATTCTTTACTATGGAGTTACCAGATGTATTCAGGCAGTCCCTTCCTATTGTAGAAGTGCCATCTTATGGTTTCCTAGTCATAGACAAAGACAAGATGAATAGTCCTAAAGTAAAACTTGTCTGTATTAATACTGATTTCCTTGGCACGCAGTCCAAGAAATAAGATGGTTGAGTCCACAGTTCTACGGTTTGAAGGGTACCCTGTGCACATATTTGTATCTGCTTTGTCGAACTGATTTACCTTTTTAGTAATAAAGGTAGAAATTAGAAATATTACCTTTCTTGATAGTATTTCTGCCTTTCTGAAATTTGTTGTATATTGTAATTTTCAAGTAGTCAAATAGTTGTTGAACTTTAAAGAAGAAGAAAAAAATCATAATAATAAGAGAAAAAAATCACCAAATGTAACTAACTGTTCACTGTCAGGGAGAAAAAAAGAAGGAAAATAGTATTAATGTCTCGTCACAATCCTTATGCCCAAACAAATGCTCATGTTTTAACTGGCCTTTTTATTAAGGCAAGCCAATATGTTTCAAACACAGGGCGCGGGGCGCGGGGTCTCTGTGCCCATATTCCAGAGCACGTAAATGGTCTCTCTCTATCTTTATTGGAACTGTCTCAGTACTGTGCACAGTAGCATTTTAAGAGAGAGTGGTTTGTTCAGTTAATAACACTCCACTTTCACATTGTTCGCGATTGCTAAGAAAAACCATTCCCATCTGGCATTTTCTCTACATAAATTGTGTAGTTGTTCGGGCTGCACACTCTATTGTTCCCCGAACGCAAAAAGCTCTTGTGCAAGCCCGCTGGTAAATTGTCCCCTGGCTGTTTCCAGCAAGCGCTGTTTGGGTAACTTCCAGGTAATTCTACCATAAGCGGTCCAAAGTCCAAAGGAAAATTGGCGACAAATGACCGGGAAGGAACCTGGAAGCAAATCTGTCAAATCACAAAGAAAGAGTTTTTTTTTTTTTTTTCCTTTCAATTTTTTATTTCTCTCTCCTAAGTTTAAAAGAATAAAGACATCCATTCTGATCTCCCCGCCCCGCTTTCTTTTCCAGCGCTCTGCGGAGGGGGTGAGAGCTTCCTGTGTCCCAATGGGATCTGCATCCCTAAGAAGCTGCAGTGCAACGGCTACAACGACTGCAATGATTGGAGTGACGAGGCTCACTGCAGTACGTGACCACCGGCTGGGCCGGGTTTGTCTGGGTGGGCCGGGATTCTCTGCAGGTACCGGGCGGGCACCTAAATCACCGCACTGTCGTATGCTGACGGCCGGGTGGGCCCTGAGTAGACTGCCATTGCTTTGACTCCCCCAGGGCCACCATACTGGGGTGGTACCCCACTCCAAGTCACATGTTTATAAGGACCCCTGCAGCTAGATGTCCAAAGGAACAGCTCAGGGATTGAAACGTTTTTTTCCATAAAGTTGTCCTATGATTGGGAAGAGGGTTGGGGTTTATTTTGTTTGGGCGAGGCATTTTGTTTATGTTTTTAAAACTTTGTAAGTATAATGGTCAACTGTTTAAAGGAGATTTTTTTTGAATAGGGAAATTTTTGATATTAATGATTCTTAACACTTACGGCTTAGCAAATCCCAAGCTTCTTGCTGGCTTTTGCTTCCCTTTAACTGGATAGGTAGTCAGTGGTGCCGAAGGGCTTTACCCCTATCATTAATAGACACCCGTCAGTGAGCTCAGTTCAATTGATTTGGTCGTTTTGACTCAATTAGCCAGTGGTTTGTCCAATACAGATTCAGATTTCAGGTTGTTTTGCACTTACTGAGAAGAAGGGAAACACTAACCTTGAGAATTACATTACACTTTCCACACTCAGAGCAGAGCTGAGCAGTTAGTTGTGTGCACCAGTGGTTTGAATAGATGTATGATTAATTGCAGTCAGCAGGAGCAGAGTTATATTTCCTTCCTGGGAGACTGACTCCCCCAGCTTTTTGTAAGAGGTTGAGACTGCCACCTTGGTTGAGAGAGTCATCTGCTCTGTTTATAGGGTGCCAAGCCCTTTCCCTGTGGGAAGGGCTAGGATGCTTATTTGGTGGAATTTGGGGCAGGTGGCATATGGTGGTATCGGAGCATTGTTCACCAAAGTGTGGTTTTATAGTACTTGAGTTTTTAAAAAATGACTGAGTGAAAAAAATAAATGGTGAGGATAGGCTCTGTGTCAACTTCTTAGAGGGTTTTAGCACATCTTGATATATTAAAGGTCTGAGAAATGTTGCAGTTTAAGTCAATTTTGCTTGAGTCAATGTGTTTTCCAACTTTTTCTCCTGTGAACTCTCATCCTTATTTATTTGTACATTTATTTATTTTGTATATTCTCTAACACTTGGTAGAAATTAAGTTATGCTACATATATTTTGAAAACTTATTTTTAGTAAAACATTGATTTTTTTTTACAACATGGAATTTTCAGGAAAGTCTATGCACACAGATTAACATGTAAGACATTTTTGTGGGTTATGTAGTTACATTGAGGACTATTGAAATGCTAGCAGAAAATACTGTGCAAAATGACCATGGTAGAGAATTCTGAAAGGTTCAATTGGATTATGTCCATTTTATGGGAATGCAGTAGAACCTCTTTTATCTCCTGCTGTGGCTAGTATTGGGGCATAATTCAAGGTCAGCACGTGCTTTTACCCCTGTGGTGGGCCAGAGCTGGCTTCATCGTTTTGTCCTCTACCGTGCTGAGCACTGATTGTACTGTCAACACAGTCAGAGCTTCCTGCGGAAGTTTTTTAAATGGAATTTGAGGGAGTCAGTTTTCCTAGTTACCAACTGAATGAGAGGGTAGTACCATTCTGGAAGGTACCTAGCATTGTCCAGGGAACGGTTTATGAAATAAGATGGTCACTAGCTTTCATTGTACTCATACGTCAGAATGACATGGTCTGGCCCACTGAGAAAATATATCCCTTTAGCAAATGCCCTTATGAAAACTCCTAGTGAAACATACATGAAGTTTGGCATGCTATCATTTCTGACCATCTGAAGGCACCTCCTTCTATGCTTGAGCATTCACTGTGTGCAGCATTTCAACAGGAGCTTTTTGTGACTGGTCCTACACTCCTGTGGTTACTGCCCTGCGCTGAGAACCATGTGTGTCTGAAGTGGCAGTGTGCAAATCGGAATGTCACCACAACCCTAGATACTGAGGAGGAGAGAAGCATGGCTGAACATTCCCTGTGAGAAACAGAAGAAAATACTAGCTCAATATTCTAGCAGGCAGAGAACACAGTGGCCAGACAAGATAGCAAGTTAAGATGTCCCCTTGCACTGAACTAGTTTTCTTTTACAAAGCAAGTTAGGTAGTTTGTGTAGTTGATTGAGTTGTTAAATTCAACAGAAGCAAGGGAAAAGACTTACCTGTGCTAAATTATTCAGAAGCCCTGCCAGAAGCATTTGCCTAGAGGATTTGATTAAACTGTCAGTTCAGGAGGGACTGTGTACCCCTTTCTTTTGTTCAAATTTGGCAGAGGTTTGGGGCAATAAAGAAGTCTACCAGTGATCAGAGTGATGGATGTGCCTGCCGTCCGTTGTGAAAGGTTCCAAATGCAACGTGTTTTCTGTCATACATGCTGCCTTTGCATTGACCTTATGCATACAAGTTCAGACTTGGTGAATTACATGGTAGTCTCATCACTCATATGACAAGAAAACGTTTTGTTCTGGTTGCTCTAGCATGCCCTGGGTGGTGGCTGACCATCACAGCGTGCCCTGGGTGGTAGCTGACCATCACAGCATGCCCTGGGTGGTAGCTGACCATCACAGCATGCCCTGGGTGGTAGCTGACCATCACAGCATGCCCTGGGTGGTAGCTGACCATCACAGCATGCCCTGGGTGGTAGCTGACCATCGCAGCATCACTTAAGTACTTCTGACTGCTTACTGCATCCCTTCTCCCAAATAATTTTGTCTTGTCTATGAACCTATTCTTAAGGATTTATTGAGCGAGATTATTCCCAAAAACCTGGAACAATCTGTTTCACAACAGAAAGTATTTTTGGAAAATTAGGAAGACTTAAGAATTTTCTCATTCTGCTATTCAAGGCAGACTGTGTCTATAACCTGGGATTTCCTTAGCAAGGGCTGTAGCACGAATCTTAAAAGTTCTTATTAATGAAAACAAACCTCGAGCTGGGTATTGGGGTGAATGCTGGAAGATCAGAGAAGCAGAACAAGCCACAGCCACCTCACTTCACCAATTCCTCAGCTGATCCTGTTTCCTCAAACTGGATGCCTCTCAGCTGAACTGTGCTGCTCAAAAGTCTAAAAGCTTAACCAGCCTAGTTCCTCCTCCTCACACTTTAATACCTTTCTGCTTCCTGCCATCACATCCTGGGATTAAAGGCTCTTGTTACCACCCCTGGCTGTTTCCAGTGTGGCTTTGAACTCACAGAGATCCAGACAGATTTCTGCTTCTGGAATGCTAGGATTAAAGGCATGTGTGCCACCATTTTCTGGCTCTATATCTAGTGGCTGTTCTGTTCTCTGACCCCAGATAAGTTTATTAGGGTGCACAATATTTTGGGGAACACAGTATCACCACAATGGGCTCATTGCAATAGCATCTCCAGGGAGCACCATCCACCCCCAACCCCCCCCCCCCCCCCCCCCCCCCCCCCCGACCTGATTTGCTTGGTCTGGAAGTGAGTTTTTTGCATAACTGCCCAGGTAATCCAACATGTAGCTCATCTCTTTTGTTGCCAGTGTTCTGTAAACTTTTGACTGGGTGACCATCTCTGGGAACAGTTGGCACAGGGGTTAGGGGTTGCATATACTGGCACACAGCAGGTGTTTATAGGTATGCATTGCTTAAAAACCCCGAAGAGCTGGCTTAGCAGTAAAGAATACTCATTGTTCTTAAAGAGGACACAGATTTGATTCGCAGCACCTAATGGTGGCTTACAACTATTATTACTCCAGTCTCAGGGGACTTGATGCCTTTTCCTGAATTCCAAGGGAGCCAAACATGCATGTGGTGCACAGACACATATGTAGGCCAACCACTCATGCACATAAAATAAAATAAGCAAACCTAAAACCAAAAACAAGCGCCAAAGAAAAGGGTTCCTGTCCTGTGGTTCCAAAATTTCTCCCATTCCAAAACGAATCAGGCCTGACCCTGCTGGCTTCCAGGGTCAGCTGGGACTGGGCTCATTCACAGTGGTGTGACTGTATACTCTTTGGCACATGAAATCAATCAAATACTTTTGGAAACCGTTTGCTCTGAACTTTGGGGGAAATTGGTGAGCCTATTATTATTTTCTTTTTTGAAGAGAGGGGCTACTTGATTGGGAGGAGTGACAAACAATATCCTGATCGATATTGTACGTGCTGAGCCGGCTGCCCATTTTCCTGTACTTACCATTCCTGTGTCTGTGAACTTGGGCGAAACAACTCTACCGCTCTTTGCCTTCATTTCTTCATGAGCAAAGTGGAAACAAAACTATGTCTGGAATTGAGTCGTTGGATATAAACCCATAGAGCCATGCCACAACTCCCCAAGAATGCTGAGGTTCGTGGCCATGGTGGTGCTTGTAACTATAGTTAGGCTGCCACCTTCATTGTGTTACTTTTTTTTTTTTTTTTTGGGTTTTTCAAGACAGGGTTTCTCTGTGTAGCTTTGTGCCTTTCCTGGAACTCTCTTTGGAGACCAGGCTGGCCTCGAACTCACAGAGATTCACCTGGCTCTGCCTCCTGAGTGCTGGGATTAAAGGCGTGCGCCACCACCGCCCGGCTGCATTGTGTTACTTATGACTGTGACAAGTACCCTAGAGAAACAATTTAAAAGGAGGAAGGATTTTATGTCGATGGTGGGGCATGTTTTGTTTGGATGTTGGTTTCTTGGCTCATAGTCTCCAGTGACAGCACATGACTGGCTGGCTTCTGGGCCTGAGATGAGGCAGAGTACCATGGTGCAAGGGCACAGTGGAGCACAGTGCTTCCTCTTGTGGCGGCCAAGAAGGAGATAATGGGGATGTGCATGCCCACCACCCTCATGTCTCTGCTAATCTGTTTTCTAGAAACCTTTTTTTTTCGTAAGATAAGGATGCCTGTAAATACTAGAAAGCATTCCATCAGGATAATGAAAGTATCTATCTCACTTGACAACTAAGGAAAGAACCTCAAATGTTTGCAAAATTCACTGAGCATAG